CTTTTAAAATCATTTTATTGGGGGCTCGCACAACTCTTAGCACAATCCATACATACATCCATTTTGTGTCAAGCACATTTGTACATTTGTTGCCCTCATCATTCTCAAAACATTTGCTTTCTACTTGAGCCCTAAGTAAAGATAAATATTTTGACATGATTATTTATAAACAAAAAAAAAGATTTTCAAACCAAAGAATAAGACTTTAAAGACTAAGACAGGGCCAGGATGGGGAGGGGAGGGGGAAGGAAATATAGAAAGGTAAGGACAGAGGGAGGATAAAAAAAAAGAACCACATATATAGGAGAAGAGGGAATTAATGGGATATTGCCTGTGGTAGTTACATAATCTGGTATCACTTTGAGACTGTTAAGAGTGAAGGGGTTGAGTTTAGCCTGTCGATCAGGTCGCAGCTTGATGACCTCATTTGGAGGCTCTACAGGGTTAAATAGCTCACTTGGAGGCCAGACCCACACTCTCCCTGCAAGGCATTCCTGTTGACAAGACACGTGGAGCTACACTGATAGAGCCAGAGCTCTGGAGCTGGAAGAGCCACGTGGAGATCCACAGCAGCGATGAGATCCACAGACTTTCCCCCCACTGGCCTGTGATCTTCCTGCATTTGATGCCATTGCATGTGTTGCGTGAGTCTGAAGAGGAATTTACAGACTGGTATTGAACATATGGACTAATATTGGATTTATGGACTTGATCTGGACTGGGCTGGGATGTTTTCTCAATATTCAATTGCTCTTTTATGTAAAACTCTTTCTTATACACATGTGAGTGTCTATGAATTTGCTTCTCCAGTCTACCCAGACTAAACACTGTCACTGATCTGATGAGATGGGCCATGAAAACACATGAAATGTTTTGGGGTTTTTTGGTATGTATGTATTATATTCCTGAAGCAAAAGGGAAACATTAATTTTAAAACATATAAATAATAAACAAACATGTTAAAATTAAAAGAGAGCCATACCTTAAAAAGCCTCCACTTTCCTTACCCATCAGAACGAAACATGAAAAAGGGAAAGTAAAAGTGACAATGATCTGGATTCTTTTGTGACATGCACGTTAGTTTCAAACAAATAAACGAAAATAATCTTTCTACAAAGGGTGCTGGGACAACTGCATGTCCACAGGCCACAGGTCAAAGGATGAATTGGGAAGCACTCAAAACATGCCTGGGGAAGAGCGTCCTTCTCAAGGTCGCCTCCATCATAGGATGTGGACGAAGTAAAGCCCTCGGGGCCTTCATTTGCTGATGCCACATGACCCAAAGTGAGAAGAAACTGCTCCCAGCAGCTATTAAAAATCAGATGTGGCATGTACCAGGTATGAACCTAGGAGAGGAAGACCCTGGACAAAGTAGATTGAAATGGTAGTTACAACAACGGAGTCAAACGTAACAATTTTGCAAATGTCTCAGGACTGGGCAATGTTTCATTCTGTTATATATGTGGTTGCTATGATTCGGAACTGACTCGTTAACAGTGAATTTATTTTGCTTTTTGTTTTAATAAACTTTACAGGGTATTCCTTTTACTTTGCTTCTTCCTGCTTCTTGTCCTTTACTTCCTTTCTCCTCCCTCTCTCACCCTCTCCTTCTTTTCCTCTCTTCATTAAACACACCGAGTTCATCCTGAGCGTGAACACTTTCTGCTGGAAATAAGGCCCCCGAAGCTACCATAACTCTGGACTCTGGACCGTAGCGGAAGGCACTGCTGCACAGCTCACTGTTGGCCACAGCACAGCCGGAGCAGACAGGAAGTGCAAAAATTAATATAGGACACTGTTGTGTTTTCCCAACTGTAGCAGGATCCTTGTACCAAGCAGCTCTGTGAGTGGAGCCAAGGTAGAGCTTCGTGGAAAACTGCCCTCGCAACACATCTGCTTCAGTGTGGGCGCCACAGCAAAGTGCTGAGGCTCATCCCCAAAAGGAGGCAAGGGAGCATGATTATTTTTTAATAGCAAAGTATAGCTCCATAACCATGAAACATTAGCAGACTGTCAGAGGCAGAGCAAGGCTGTGGTAGTTACATAATCTGTTGTCAATTTGAAAGGATTAAAAGTGAAGGGGTAGAGTTGAGCCTGTCAATCAGGTGGCAGCTTGATGACATCATTTGGAGGCATTAAGGAGAAAAATAGCTCACTTGAGGCGCAACACATGCTGACTCCCTGGGATACATTGCAGCTGACAAGACACATGAAGCTACACTAGTGCCCTGAGCTGGAGAAGCCACGTGGAGACTCCTGCCAGCATGGAGATGCTTACAACACCACTGGATCCAAAAGACTTCCTACCCACTGGTCTGTGAAATTTTTTTTTGGCTTCAAATGATTTAATTAGGCATCACTTGACATATTGTTTATATATACCCTGTTTTCCCTAAAATAAGACAGTGTCCTATATTAATTTTTGCTCCCAAACATGTGCTAGGTCTTATTTTCAGGGGATATCTTATTTTTCCAGGAAGAAGAATATGGTACACATTTATTATTTTACTAAAAGAGACCTCGCACTTCCTGTCTGCTCCGGCTGTGCTGTGGCCAACAGTGAGCTGTGCAGCAGTGCCTTCCGCTACGGTCCAGAGTCCAGAGTTATGGTAGCTTCGGGGGCCTTATTTTGGGGGATGTCTTATTTTCGGGGGGGATGCCTTATATTTCAGTGAGAGGCAAAACTGTAAGTAGGTTTTATTTTCCGGGGATGTCTTACTTTCGGGGAAACATGGTACTTGAAAGCCAGACTGTGTTAGACAGGGTTCTCTAGAGAAACTAAAGCCAGGACACTTATGATTAGATAGATAGATGATAGATAGATAGATAGATAGATAGATAGATAGATAGATAGATAGATGATTGATTGATTGATTTATACACCATGAAGGAATATAACAGCTAATTAGTCCACATAGCAGTACAGAGGGCTCCGTTCAACTTACTTCCACGGAACAGTTAATATACTGGAAGTCCTTCAACTCACAAGGGCTGCTGGGTCCAAGGTCAAGGAAGGAGATAGCTGAGTCTTCCCTAGAGCAGTGCAGGCAGTCTGACCACAGGCAGCAAACCGCAGGGCGGTTCACCAACAGTCAGCAGCTCAGGAGCTTAGTGAAGAAAACCTGGATGGGATATCATACTTAAGCAATGCAAGATGACAGGATCCGACCACCTCAAGCTCAAGCAGTGCATACACCAGCAGCATGATGAAGCAGGTCTTGAAGGAACCTAAAGATCTAGTGCACAATCCACGGGTTGGCTGTTCCACAGGCAGTGTGGCTCAAAAGTTGATGCAGAGAACTAGCTAAAGCAGTGGCACACTAGTCTGTTCACTAGAGAGCAAGAGAGAGAGGGGTGGGTATTGCTGAGCCATTTATCTCTTTGCCCTCCAATGAAATTGCGACCTGATTAATCCCACATGTTCCTATTGGCCAGGTGGCACAATAACCCTATCACAGAGGCACTGAAAAATGCTGACTGAGAGACACAAAAGAACTGAGGCAGATGCCTCTTCTGTAGTCCTGGTTTCTTCAACAAGTGTTGCTTCTCACCATGATGCATTTTGTGCCCGCCCTGCCCCACCCTCCACACACACACACACACACACACACACACACACACACACACACACTCACACACACACCAGCTCTTTCAAATTCAAAATAATTATAACACTGTCTGGGCAAAGACCCAAGGTAGCCTTCCAAACCTGGACATGCTGCTGAAATACAATTTTCACGAGCATCTCTCAGTAGGGCTCAGCAGGGTTTAGGAAGATTTCTGAGCTATGGCCATTTTGGCAGTCTGGAGAAGCAAGTGGATCCCTTCTAGAATGCTTCTGATGCATAAAACAAAACACATATGATTACAAGGGAAAACTATCTGATTCAAATACAATGATCAAATATTTGTAAAACCTCGTCCCATGGTAATATGTGTGTAATATGTATCTTTAGATTTATGCACTAGGATCTAGTGAAAGGGCTGGTAACTGTCATGGTTGTGAAGTTGGGTTGACCATCAGTGATATTTTAAGAACAACTGGTGGCCTAGTGGGTTAAACATGCATTGGGCTGCTAACCACAAGTTCAACAGTTCAAACCCACTAGTTGCTCCAAGGGCAAAGTAGGAGACTGTCCTCTTAAAGATTTTTAGTCTTGGAATTCCTAGGGAGCCATTCTACTCTGTTCCCTAAGTTGGAACTGACTTGATGGTGTCGGACTTGGTTTGGTGGTGATGTGCTATGAAGATATCTCCGATGTCTATCTGAGCGAAAGCCACAGGCACTGGTAACCGCGCCTGGGATGTGCAGCCTACATTATGGTGGAAAGAATAAACCTATTGCCATTCACTGATTGTTTTGTTCAGCAAACTTAATTTTTGTTGTTGTTTGGAATATAGAGAGCAAACGATACACCAGTTCCACAGTTCGGGCTTGTATAATTGGTGACTTTCCGTAAGGTGTGCAACTATGTTCTCCCTCCTTCCCTGAGCGGAGGAGCCCGGATGTTGTTGTGGGTGACATATGCTGAGCTGCTCTACACAAGGTGGCAGTTCAAAACCACCAGCTACTCCTCAGCAGGAAGGTGAGGGTTTCTACTCCAGTTAAAATTTAAGAAATCTGGGGGAAGAAACCGATAACAAGGATCTACATATAGACCCCCTCTCTGGGAGACGGATAACGGAAAAGTGGGTGAAGGGAGACACCAGTCAGTGTAAGATATGAAAAAATAGTCATAATTTATAAATTGTCAAGGGTTTGTGAGGGAGGGAAGGGAAAAAATGAGAAGCTGATACCAAGGGCTCAAGTAGAAAGAAAATGTTTTGAAAATGATGATGGCAACAAATATACAAATGTGCTTGACACAATGGATCTATGTGCGGATTGTAATAAGAGTTGTATGAGCCCCTAATAAAATTATTTTTTTTTTAAATTTAAGACACCCACAGCAACAATTCAATTCTGTCCTATACCCAAGGGACACATAACGACTTGTGTGATGCTCGCTTCGTCAGCACACTTACTAAAATTGGAACGATACAGAGACCATTAGCATGGACCCTGTGCAAGGAAGTTCTGCAAATTCGTGAAGCGTTCTTTTTCCAGTGCTCCTAGACCAGCACACAACACACTGGCATGAAGCAGGGAACCAACAGAGAGGCCTGAGGGGCCAGCCTCATTACCAACTAAGTGGACATTCCCCTTCCCCCTCAGAAGAATTCATTTCAGAGGACAGCACAGAAGCTACAGCCCAAGGAGAGGGACGTATCTGATCAGAGCACACAGGAGCAAATAGGGGAGAGGAAAAAAGAGTGAAGCACATCCCGGCCCACCAAGCCCTGAGGACAATATTTCTGCTCAGAGCAGCCAGTGCACAGAGAGGACCACAGGGCCGGCCCCACCACAAGACATGACGTTCCTCACTGACCCATAGCACCACAGTGGACAACAGTGGAGACACATGGGAATTGTGCCCACCCTGATTCCACCACACCTAGGCGAGATGCTGGGGTTGTGCAACAGAGCAGCAAGGGGAGCAGAGCAATGAAGTCCCCAGGAAACACCAAAAATAGACTGTGGGGCCAGGAGTCCTTCAGACTCCACTGGAGAACACTCACAAAGGACCACAAATAGACCTTGAACTATTTATAGGCTTCTCTTTTTTTGTTGTTGGCTTTGTTGTTGTAGCTATCATTTTATTTTCTATTGTTGCTTTGTTTTGCTGGGTCTTGTGTTTGTGCATATTCTTGTCTCTGCATGTGTATCTGGATGGGACAGGTGGGATAAACAAATCGGAAGAGAGAACAACAGAATGACAGTTG